AGCGCCTCTGCCCTCCCGGGGCTGGTTGGAGCCCCGCTGGTGACGGGTCTGAAAGCACGTGGCTACGTCACGGAAAGCCAGTCTTTTCAATGCAAACTTCAACTCCTCCTCCTCCTCCTCTTCCCCCTCCTCCTCCCTCTAATGCCTGTAACTCACATCCGAGACTGGGCGAGGAATCCGGAGGGGAGATTCTCATGCTCACGGTGGTTGGAAACTGGAAGCGGGAGAGGCCGGAGGAAGGGGATTCACGGCGTTCTCTGCCTACTACGAGACTGACCAGGGGAGGGGGCGCCTAGATCCGCATCTGTTCTTCGTGGGAATTCAGAACCGCAGGTTCAATCCGATCCCAATGAACACTGGAGATTGATCATTTAAAAAAAAATCGACACTGGAGAGGGGAGGCTCTGTCTTCGGCTGTCGATCTCGGAGGTGGTAGTGGTGTGTGAGTGTGTGTGGTGTTTTTTCTTTTCTTTTCTTTTTTCTTTCTTTCCTCCCCCTTTTTTCTCCTTCTCTCCTAGGGGCTCCACAATGGCAGTCTTCTCTCAGTAAGATGAATCCTGCTTCGCTTCTGCTGATCCGCCCATCCTCATAGCGATGAAGTAAAAGGCTATGGTTTTCTCCCTGATTAGTTTTGCTCTCAGTGGGATTTCTTTGCTTTTTTGTTTGGCTTCATGCTGAAAAAGGATTTTCCCCCCAACCTTCTGGTAATAATCCAGTGGTGAGCGAAGCGGGGATAAATCATTCACCCTGGCCGAGAAAAAACAATCGCTGAGAAGTCTCAAAGAAATATACCACGTGAGGGGAAAAAACTGGGAGAAGATCCGGAATATTATCGTTTTTCCTATGGTAAAACCGGTGCCCCTCTTCAGGAGAACTGATTTCAAATTATTATTATGCAACCACAAGGATCTCTTCTTTCTCAGGGTGTCTAAGCTGCTGGATTGCTTTTCGCCCAAATCAATGTGGTTTCTTTGGAACATTTTCAGCAAAGGAACGCATATGCTGCAGTGTCTTTGTGGCAAGAGTCTTAAGAAAAACAAGAACCCAACTGGTAAGCGAAACGTGCATCGTGTTATGTTTTTCCTCTTAATAGCTTGTCTGTACTGTTGCTCATGGAGCTAGCTCTGCAGTTCTGCTATGCAGGAAGGCAGGGGAAGCGTACCAGGAGCCGGGACAGTGTTGCCCGTAGAGGTGTTGCATGAATAAACAAGTAGGCTCTGCTGGATCCGCGTCTGCGAACCCGAAAACCATGATCATCGTCTCTCCTTGCCCGTGACACACTCCCTCACTAGGAGGGAGGAGGAAACTTCTTTTTTCTCCTCCTCCTCCTCCTCTTTTTCTTCCCCTCTCCCCCTGAATGCCTTTGGTCGCACCTGCTGGGTGGACTAGCACAGGGCTATGGCTTCGGGTTGTGCTTCGGGAGCTGGCGGAAGGAACCCCAAGATCTCTTCACTTGTGCTGCCGGTGTGGGGACGGAGCTCTAGACTTTGTGATGAGCTTGCACAATATTCGCTACCACCAAAGTAAAAGGGGCCCCCCTCCCCCAAGTTAACTCTTCCTCGGTCGGCTTCCAACCCAGCCTGCCTCTGGGAATACTCAAGGCTGGGAATACTGGTGCCTAGAGGGAACCCGAGACAGGGGAGGCCAGCCTGCTAGTCTGTCACCCCCCACTTTAAAAAGCAGAGGCAGAGCCCAGCGTCACGTCCCCCCCCCCGGGGGTCCCTGCTTTCTGCCCGCTTGGCGATCCCCTGCCCGGATGCCAAAGGGCTCCCATCGAGAAACTTGCAGTGCATTACATAAGAAATGCAAATGCGGGTGATCCAAGGAGGAGCCGGGTCCCAGGGGCTTCTGGGGGCGGTGGTGGGGCCGGGGGCGAGAAGCCGGGGTTGGCCAGG